TACCTATACAGACAGAATAAATTCAGACATAATGTAACTAAAATTAAAATAAGTAACAAATACAAATAATACAAATCAAATGACAGTAGTTTATCAGTAATCCTAAAAAATCAGTGATCTGCGAGCAGCTAGAAGCCTCCTCTGAGCTGTTGATCCAATCAAGGTTAAAACGCGATGAAAGCGGTAAGAATAACGTGAAACATTGCTGATGTTCGCGCAGTAGTGCGGGCTCTTTAAATTTTGGCGCTGTTGTGAAGACGCATGTCACGTGACAACATCAACATGGCGGATGTAGTACGTCCGAATTCCATTCATACTACTCGCATTCATACTATATAGAACGTACTTTTTTAACGGTCGAGTAGTACGTTCAAATTCAAATGTAGTACCTACTAAGCAGTATGCGATTTCGGACTTTATATTCCGTTTTACAGCTACAAATTATAACATTGCTCATTTTCGTAAATAACGAGGAGAATAACAATGTGTAGTAAACGGTAAAACATTTGCACTACAAACCAGTGTGTTCATAATGAAGATAATACATTAAAATTATATGATAAGACACACCAACTTTCAATATCAAGCAGCAAAACGAATTGTTTTGTTCAGCTAAAAATAGCTGGATGGAGTGGACGCAGATGAGACCGGAAGCCAGACCCATAGAATTTACAAATGGCCGCGCCCATTTTTACAACAAGAAAAAGGTGGATAGACTAATAGAATTCTTCAAACACAAAACGACTCGCACTGAATTCAAAAGATTCCACTTGAAAACGCCAGTGAACCAATCTTTGTGGTGAACTGATTCAAAATATTCGAGTCACTGGAATGAATCAAAATCCCCACCACGAGCAGGCAGTAAAATGCGGGTGGAGCGAGCGCACCACGAGTCTCCGGAGCAGGGCTCTCCATCCAATCAGCGCGAGGGGGATGTTTTATAGCTGCTGCTTGCACTTCAGTTTTTACTCACTGCAAAGGCGACTGATCCACTGAACTATCAACAAGTAAGGTAAGTCATTATGAAGCATTCAGTTTATATTAAAAGGCAAACTTTCTAGTCTTTTTCTTTTTTATTTGAAACCACTGAAAAGTGTAAATGCAATAAGTTCGTAAATGTAATTCGTTATGGGAAGTGCTGGGGATTTGTCTTGACTTTATGTGGTCATGTAATGCTTTTGTCATAATGCTGCATTATTTTAATTTTATTATTTTTAGGTCTTTCACTTCAGCGTTTCTTTTCTCGTATTCAGTCATTTTTTAAGCAGGGCATTTACCAAGACTAGCCTCGTACAGTGTACAGTAGGCTATAGTAGTCTTGTTTTTGCCACGTACATTTTCAGTAGCCTATGAGTGATTACCAGTAGCACAGCTGTCGTCTTTACCAATAACAGTGAGAGAAGAGAGAGAGCTTGAGATGAAATATGATATCCAGCCTTTCTTTTTTGTTTCTTTTTAATAGTTCGCTCAAATAGTGTCAAAGATTCATGTAGCCCTAAGTCTAAACCGTAAACAGTCGGCATAATTCTAGCTGTTTTTATATTCCGTTTTACAGCTACAAATTATAACATTGCTCATTTTCATGTTCCGTTAGAAGATATTGATCTAATTTTTCTTGGTTAAAGTGCCTTACCTCAGAAAAAAATACCTCCTATCTGAAACATGAATGTCTAGTGCACTCTTCCTTCTGATAACAATTTAGTTGAAGCAATATGAATATTCACAATTGATTAAAGTTAAATGTTTTCAAGCTAAATTGTCTGTTGTTGACACATATTTGGCTTTGTAAGTTCATGTAAGTTTAAAAAAAGGAGACAAATGGCATGTTTGTATTCAGGTATATTATGAACTAATACATCTCATTCGATTATGCTAAAATAAAGCAGGTTTTGTTTCAATTACACAAATATTGATGTTTTTAATGCTAAAGAAAACCTGCCAGGTGTTAATTACCAACGTTCTAACATTTTTACATTTTGGTTACATTATTTTTCAGTTGTATGTGTGGTTTCTATTGGATATTTTTAAAAAGGTCTTCTGTGACATTATCTAACTGCAACCAAAATGCAACGTGCTGTGCTTGCTGGAGCTGAACTGTCACAATCTCACTGTCTTTCGGCAACACACCTTGATATATGAACCATGTACTTGCATCCTCTTGGATTCTAAACTTGGCATGTGGTTTTTAGCATCCATCACAATAATCAGCTTCTGTTACTGAGCTGCTGCTGAACCAGCAATCAATCCTGAGCTGTGTTGCTTATTGCTCACTGTATATTGCCAGTGAATTAATCTTTTATTTCGACATTTTCAAGATGATGCATTTCACATGTCTTGAGTGCTGCCTGTGACAAAGTTTCACTGTAAAGAATGGAAGTCGCGTCACTGCAGCATGTGTTCGGCATATTAATATTATCTACCTGCCTTACGGCCACTTGTAAAATGAGTTGATGTCTCAGCAGAGGGGGTTTTGACAAAGTACAAGCTATCTGTGTAGACTGGTTCCTCAAAGGGCAGTCGTCATCTGATTGATCGGCACAATGTAAGGAGTTCACTGTCATGATCTGTTCTCGATTGAAGTGTTCCTCTGCCTTCTTGTAAGTTTAGAAACCCGAAATGAAAATCTTGACGTTTTCCACACCCTCATGTTGTTCTGACAGAGCTTTATTTGAATTCTTCATGACACAAAAAACACAGAATCTAAGCTGCTCTGAGCTTTGTTTGAATAATGTATTATAATTTAATCATATTTTTCAGAAGACTTGAAATATAGTTTTTTTTTTGTCCTTTTTTGAGTTTGTCAGTATTTCCTTGTGTGAAAAGAACAACTGGGATATTCTGCCTATTGCCTCTTTTGTATTTCACTGATGGGGAAAATTCAGCTTCATTTTTTTGTTCTATCATTAGAGTTTCTAATAGCCATTAATGAGCATTGTGTTGCTATGGAGCAAATGAGAAATTGATTTGTTTTGTTTTAATAAATCAGTCCTTTGTCATATAATGAGATTATATGCAGCATAACAAATGTATTAATCTGAAAGATTATTAATAATATTGTTTTGTCATGGTTGGAGCCATTTCAGGTTTAGAGCACTATGTGATATGATGTTGCTTTGCCTGTTACAAAGGATATCTTAAAGTAGTTCACCAAAAATGAAAATTCTGTCACCATTTACTCACCCCCATGTTGTTCTTGCCATTTTGATGAATGTTAGTAACCAGATAGTTATGGTTACCACTGACTTCAATTGTATGGAGAAAAAAAATACCTTTTCATGTTGTGCAGAAGAAAGAAACTCGTACAGATTCAGAATGACAAAAGGTTGAGAAAATGATGATAGAAAGTTAATTTTTGCGTGAACCATGCCTTTAAAGCCACCTTTAATTCATATTTAAATTGATCAAATATTAATTAATGTTACTTCACGTTAACGCCAGTTTGTATGGGTGATTCTTCTGTTTCTCCTTTCATTCTTGCAGTTCCAGACTTGGCAGGAGGGATGTTAAGTGAATGGAGCCCTCTTCACATCCTCCTTCTGCTTTTGGCTTCTAATTAAAACTTGGCTGTAGAACATTTCCCTCTCAAATGTTTAATTGCCTTTCAGATGTTGATGGACTCGTTTGGATTCTCTCCAGACACTTTCAATGACTTCAAACACCTGAAAATTATAAATAACTACTCCACATGTGCTTACAGGGCGTTAATAAGGAAAAACTTCCACTGTTGGAATGACACCGTGACCTGTAATGTTTATTCATTAATTTTTCATTATGACTTGGATTAACAATGACTGCCCTTGAACTGTAGAGCATTCAGAAAGTAAGAAGCTGGACATGACTTTCCCTGGAGGGGCTCATGTGTCAAGGAAAGTCTTCATCCATCATGGCTGTCCCCTTATCTTGAGATTCATTTTAACTGTGATTTGTTTGAGTGCAATGGGTTTTGCGTGTCCCAAGAGTTGCCACTGCTCCGAGAGGAATGGCTTGACCGTAGTGCAGTGTTCCTCTCGCAACCTAGAAGAAATTCCCTCCAACCTTCCTCACGATACTGTGTTGCTTCTTCTATCCTCTAATCACATCACCAAAATCCCAAACCAGGCTTTTAAAAACCTTCCTTGGCTCCAAGAGCTGGACTTGTCACGGAATGCCATCGAAACCGTGGATGCTGGTGCTTTTCAAGGTGTCACGGAGAGCTTGCGGGTGCTCGACCTGTCCCATAATCACATGCAAAGCGTCCCTAAGGAGGCCTTCGCTCGGCTGCATGCCAAGATCAGCCTGTCCAACAACCCGTGGCACTGTGAGTGCACCCTTCAGGAGGTGTTGCGTGAACTCAGGCTGGATCCTGAGACTGTGAACGAGGTGAGCTGCCACACCTCTGTTCAGGAAGAGTACGCAGGCAAGCCTGTCATTCAAGTCTTGGATTCGGGCATAAACTTTTGTAACTTCCACCATAAAACTACTGATGTGGCCATGTTTGTCACCATGTTTGGTTGGTTCACGATGGTTATCGCTTATGTCATCTATTATGTACGGCATAACCAGGAAGATGCCAGGAGGCATCTGGAGTACCTCAAGTCTCTGCCAAGTAGCTCCCAAATTAGTAAAGACTTTGACACAATCAGCACTGTTCTCTAGCATCAATCAGTGCAGTGTAGGAGTGAATGTGTTTGGCACATTGATGCTGGCACATCAGCAAGCCTTATAAGGGAGAGTGGGGTAAGATGTGTCATTTACTCAGTTTGTCCTCAAGTCAATTGAGTCATTGAGAAACCCACATTTGCTAAGCATAAAATAAAATCAAACTATTATTTTTCTGCACATTATTGACATTTTCATATGAAAATATTTCGTTTTCTGAAAATGTTAATTTAAGTATTTTATTATAATAGTATTTTGCAAAAAATGCAAAGCTTACCAAATGCCAAATATGCATGAGATGTAACTTTTATTTATTTATTTATTTGCTTTGATATTAAATTCATTTTATCTGCTGCAGAAAATTTACTTTGACATGCAAACCCACACTTTAGTATTAAAAAGCAACTCTTCTACAATATGCAGCTGCCTGAGAGAGAGCGAGAGAGAGTCCTTCAATTCAGTCTATTATAAGAATGACAGATTAGCCACTGACAGTCTGACATGTCTTGCCCTACTCTTCCCAAGATATAGTATTATTAGATTTAATTGTGAATGTTTTTCATGAGTTTTCACAAAATGAATGTGTTGACAATTGTTCTGTGATGCAATTCAGTGTTCCCATTCATGTACCCTCAGTCGACCTACATAAGTCCTGCAGTCTCTGTGGTGGCCGCTTTGTGGCTCACGACAGGAAGCTGCAGAAGCTCCATTTCTTTCTGCAGGTGCTTATCCCATTATTTCTTGAATTGGTTTTATTAATTTGTATGCTAATTTAATGGTGTTTCAGAACAGAATATTAAATGCTGGATTTATGGGATATTTCTTTCCTTATTTTGTATTGCTGACCAAGTAGAGCAAGTAAATAATCACTGCCAAAAAAACAACAACAAAGCCCATCAGTTAAGCTCTGCCTTGATAACTGGAAACTTGCCCCATTTTTGGCAGAGTTGTATTTACTCAAGTGCCTGATCCTGGGACCTCAGCACCAATACACTGTGCATTGGGCATTATTTGGTTTGCTATCTATATGTTCTTCTACAATCAAAAATAACCCTTTAATAGTTAGTGTAAAGTAGAACAGTGTCATTTTAAGTCAAGTGATAAATTTGGTGTATTTTAAAGATTTCTCAGATTTATCTTAGGTCAATTATGCACACATATGATTAGAAGATTTCATCAGATGACATTCAAAATGGATTTTGTCACCTGTGTGTTAGTTTAAAAGGGCTTGCAAGTTATATTTCATGTAGACTAATGCATATTTCTGTCCACATTTATCAGTTTTTCATTGTGACAAGCCTTTTCAGCAGTAGTGTGTATATCATAGCAACATAAGAAAATAAAAATGCTATTAGAAGGACTCTGCCTTCCTGCCTACTTCTAACAGACCTTTAGATTTTTTTTCATTGTTTTTTAAGTAGCATTCAATCTACTATATGAATGAGCTTTTGTGGACATATTCAGCAAACAAAAAATCGATAGCTTGGGGTCCTTGATTTTATTTACTTTTGTTTTGTGTGAGTACTAGGCATAAAACAATGCCTTGCAGAAATGTTTGTTGTACATTTCAGGGATTTCTTGAGGTGTCATACCACTGAGAGCGGATATTATGATTGCTTTCCTGTCCAGGGGGCCCGAGGTCTAGCCGTATGCGAGTCTGTAGCTCTAGATCAATAGCAGATTCATTACAGGGGAAGGTTCGGAATGCTGCAGTGAGCTTTAAGCCATGCTGTTCAGGGACTATGGCACCCTCAATACAGTGAAGATCTATCAAACCAAAGTGTAAGAGAAAGTGACTGTGTGTGTGCTTCTGTCTTCAAAGAAAGCATTGAATAGGTGGTCCATCTTAGTATTAATGTGATCGTGGTTCGCGCTTAAGTGCTCCATAATGATTTACTATTTGTGTTTGTTTGTAAATAAATGACCCTTTAATTTGTTACTTTTGGAGAAATTTAGCATGATTATATCACTTGCTGACCAACAGATCCTCTGCAGTGAATGGGTGCCGTCAGAATGGGAGTCCAAAAGATGATAATAACATCACAATAATCCACAAGTAATCCACACTACTCCAGTCCATCAATTATTGCCTTGTGAAAAAACATAAACAAATCCATAATTCTGACGGCACCCATTCACTGCAGAGGGTCCATTGGGGAGCAAGTGATGTAATGCTAATTTTATTAAATCGGTTCAGATTTGGATGTAGAAACATGCATCTACACCTTTGATGGCCATTTAACAGACTCCAACCACAACAGTTTGGGGTCCGACTACAACATTTGACTTTAATGCTACAACACTACCATAACTACAAAGGAGGAGGGTTACATTTTCCTAGGAAACATTAGCAACTTTCACTTTTCAACATCACTGACCTAGTTCACCTCTATGAGATGGATGTTATTTGAGCATCTCAGCATGGCTTATCCATCAGTATCTGGCAGCATAAATGACGGATGCTCTCTGTGCCCTAAAATGACATGCAGTGAACTGGTCCAAAGACACTTGTTTCACTCCTCTTTTTTCTATTCTGCGTGTTGAAGCTGCTTTGTAAACCAGCCATGTGTTTACTGCCCTCTCTAATATATTTACCTTGACATCCTCATGCAGGTCATGCACTAGAAAATGTTTTTATTGATGAAAACATCTTTCATGTCGCTTAGTTGACAAGATTTTGCAGTAAGTTTCACATTTAATGAGCTCACAGTCTGCTGGTCGAAATTTTTTTTATATAAAAAATAAATCATCGATTTGCTTTTACTTTCTTTTCTGGCAGTCTATTACAATAAGCTAAGATTTCACGAAAGACTTGAGCCACAAAAACATATTTGAAATGAATAAATGAGAATAAAATATTGACCAGAGATGCCATGTGATCCAGCGTAATATTTATATCTTCCTTTTAACAACATGCCAGTCGTAATACCACCTGTATATTATTATTATTTTTTATTATTGATCTAGGTTTGGGCACTATGATGAAGGGCATGTAAACTTGCCTTTTAAGAATAGGCTAATTGAAATAATGTTTTGTTAATCACAATTACTCAACCAGAGCTTTTTTTAAACCACTTTTCCTAAGCTATTCATACAGGCCGACAGAAGTGGAGCTCAGCACTTAGGACACATTAAAGATTTATTACCATTTTTTTTTTTCGTGTGCTCTAGATTGTCATTTACAGAAGTGTTATCTCTGCTTAGCCATGTGTCCTCCCACTGAGATGTTTATTTGCTGGTGCTCTTTCACCACAGGGGTAATCTGTGCCATCCAAACACTACTTTCCTCCTAGATTGGTGTATTGAGCCTCCAGCATTTCTCTGACATGTCTTAGTAATAATGTATAAGCTCCTGTGGCTCTTTGTTTCTATTTACGGTTTCTGTTACAGTAGAAGTCAAAAGTCTGGACACATCTGCTTGTTCTTTATATATATATATATATTCGACATTTTAGTATGAGGATTATATAATGAAAAAAAATGGAAAGAAATTTTAATTATCCATACACACAGATACTTCCATTCATACATATATCTGCTCATACTTTTGACTCGTAGTGTATTTATTTATTATGTATTTGTTTAATATTTATACATTTATCAATTTTGTATGCATTTGTATAAAGAAATACATTTCAAGATGCCCAGAAATGCAACACACATCACTTGTTTTCAGTTTACATTTTAATTTTCTTAAATTTACATACATTTCTCTCTCTCTTTACACACACACACACACACACATTATGTAAAAATACACTGCCTGGCCACAAAAAAAAAAGTCACCATCTGGATTTAAATAAACAAATATGCAAGATTCTAAGTGCGGTGATTAATATGTTTCTGGCATGTTGTATGTTTTGGCAACAATTATTTTAACCCTAACAGATGCAGTGCATAGCTTTTTATTTCTCAAACAACCATGTCAAAAGATGCACCCATGTCCATTTTCTAAGATGACAATACCAAGATTCAACAGGCCCAATTTGTGAGCGATTGGCCACCAAAGAATCCTGACCTAAACCCCGTTGAAAGTTTTTGATATGTGCTGGAGTTGACTTTACACTGCCTGGCCAAAAAAAAGTTGCACACTCAATTAGCTTTGATAACATTGTGTATTCATTGTGGCGTTGTTTTGACAACTTCATGCAACATCACAGCATTTATTTCAGTCACGAGTTGCATTGATTTTTGGCCAAGATCTGGTATTGACAATGGGAGAGTTGAACCACTCTGTAAAGTTGACTCCAACACATCCCAAAGATTTTCAACAGGGACTCTATGGTGACCAATTCATACATGAAAATGATTCCTCATGCTCACTGAACCACTGTCTCACAAATTGAGCCTTGTGAATCTTGGTATTGTCATCCTGGAATATGTACAAGGTATGTCTTCCAACATGATTGTTTGAGAAGTAAAAAGCTATGCACTGCGTAAATCAGGGTTAAAATAATTGTTTGAAAATATAACATGCCAGAAATATATTAATTACTGCAATAGTGAACCAATCTTAAACTCTTCAGTATTTGCTTATTTAAATCCAAATGGTGCTTTTTGTATAAGTTTCTGAAACAAATATGGATTTTTTTTTTCAAATTTCATACTACTTTATTTAATAACAGCAGCTAATGATTAATTATTAATAACAGCAGCTTTTGAGCTGCATGATCTGATGATCATGTTTTCCATCATGATTTGACAATCATCCAAAGAGCATTTTGTGCTTTAGTGGAAGCAAGAACACCTGGCCTTTTGTTCAAAGAAGTTCACGTGATCAGTGTTACAAATCGGATTAGTGCTTTAGTGACATATATTGTTCTATGAAGATTTTTTTACATTCGTGGAATATTTCCATTGCTGAAAGGTATTTTATAGTGGAAAAAGGTTCTTCAAATTATTTTTTCCACTAAGAAAAAATTGGTTATTTTAAGAACTGTTCACTGAGGTCCAAATCTGACCTCAGAAGACTACAGATGGTAGTCCGGACTGCTGAGCGAATCATTGGTACAACCCTCCCTTCTCTCCAAGAACTGTACTTATCCAGAGTGAGCAAAAGGGCTGGCAAAATCACTCTGGACCCCTCACATCCAGCACACTCCCTCTTTGAACTGTTGCCATCTGGTCGACGCTACAGAGCACTGAGCACCAGAATGACCAGACACAGGAACA